TGTACAAACTAGAGAAACTGGTTAAATTTTAGTATTATCAAACTTGTGTCTTACTGGAATGTGATCCAAAATATGAGTCAGCTGAGTGATCTTATAAAAAAGAGATGTAGAAGGAAACAGTAAATCAAAATATTGAGCTATAATTCACAGATGTATTTTTCATAAGGCTAAATGTATAGTATTGCACTTTTCAAAGAAAAAGAAATACTCCAAAGAGTTAAATTTAAGACGGGAGGAGGGGGGACTGCTGGGTTCTATTTAATTCATAGCTCTAAACAATGGCAACTAGAAAAACAACTGAACGTTTTAAAAACTCACATGATAAAAGATAACGAAAAGCCATGTACAGTGTGTATACAAATTATCCAAACATACAGTGAGCACTGATAGGTCAGGGGACATGATTCTAAAACAAATTGGAAAGTTTTATAGCCTAGAATGTTGATAATTAGAGACCCTGTTAAGAGTTGTCTGAAAAGGCACCATCCTTCCTTTACCAAGTCACTTCTGTATCTCTTTTCTCATCTTAATATGCTGGTTTCCCTCCACCTACTCTAACTAATTTCTTTATTCTGCATTTAGAAACAGCTGCCTGGTGGTTAAACAAAAAATTAATGATTGACTGAACTGGAACAGCTCCTTTACAATAAATAAAAATGTTGGTACTCAAGCCTTTAATGAAAAGCACAGCAACTGCCAATGTGTAAAATGGACTTCAAAACAATCTTCATATCATCCTCAGCTCTCCACAGCCTATTATCTATCTCCCTTTTCAGGGATAGGAACATTTTTTACATTTAATTGAAAATACATACATACATACATACATACACACACACACACACACACACACACACACACACACACTCTTTCTCCAGACACTGTAAAAAAATAGCCACAATAACAAAGGTCTGTGACTGACAGAATGGCTAAACAGCTAAGAAAGAGCTGGATTCTGGCAATTATGTGGCCTTGTTGATTAGAATACCTACTGCCTAGGTCCAGTGCTTCACAGGCAAACTCTGCCTAAGGAATCATTTTATGATTGTGTAAAATTGCCAATAGAAACATCCTGGCAGGAAAAGCCACCATACATATATTTTACCTGACACCTGATATCCAAGCAAACCTAGCATTCTTAAGAATAAAAGAACTGGTGCCTTCATGGAAAGATAACTGTTAAATACAACAAATACACTGTTGCTCAATGCGCCTGCTGACCTTAGATTCATTTTTAAAGGGTAAGATAAACTAAGAGTATATATTTCTTAAATAGCTGCTTGCTATTTAATAATTAAAGAGAAGTAATAAAACACAGAGACCAACAACTAAGAGGGGAATAGATGGCTATTCTTCAAAGCAAAATATTGCACCGTGGGCCTTTAAAGTTACTTATATCTAACTAATTTGTAATTTCATACTCAATGATTGAAGGTCCAGAAGAACAATAATTAGAAGAAGACTCTCAACTTTCATTAGCTATTATTCTCAACCCTTTTAAACTGCAAGAGACTAAACACAGAAGCTTAAAGAATTTTCTCTAACCTCAAAAGAGAAAGAAGCAATAACTTTCAGGAAGGACACAAGGGTTAGATTATCAAGTTGTCTGCAATCTAAATACAATTTAACATGCAACACTATTGTCAAAAGGATCTTAACATTTTGAGTTGCATCACAAGAAGCATTATATTCAAGATAAGAAATCATAGCCTCAGGGCCTGCCTCATTATTCTAAAGAATGAAGCAGCCTCCTTAGGGTCAAACTGATACAGCCATTCGCATACTATTTAATCCTCTTTCTGTCCTACCTTTGTATACAATGGGGAGTGTTGTGTACAATGTGTTAAAGCTAAAACTGTGCAGTGCTTCAACTGAGCTTCAGTTCAATATGGATAGAAAACAACTTGACTATAATTAAGCATGCTGTAGTTACTAGTGCATTTCAGGTTAAACATTTGAATGAACAGCATGTTGGCTGCCTTAGAAATCAGGATAGTTCAAAGCACAGACTTTGGGCTAGTAAGAGGAAGGAGACACTGCAAAGCCATCTCTATAAGCTTTGAAGAGATCTATACTAGGTTTCTAATTTATTTTGAAACACTGTTCAAAGAGTGGTATTGTATTTAAATCTTGTGCAGACACAAAATGTAAAAAAAACCCTTATCCTATGTTAATTTTTTTTCAGGGGCCTGAAATATCTGATTCAAGGGAGAGGGCTGTAGAGGATAAGGTAAAGGTTCCCCTCGCACATACGTGCTAGTCGTTCCCGACTCTAGGAGGCGATGCTCATCTCCGTTTCTAAGATGAAGAGCCAGCGCTGTCTGATGACAATTCCATGGTCACGTGGCCGGCTAAACGTCAAAGGCGCATGGAACGCTGTTACCTTCCCACCAAGGTGGTCCCTATTTTTCTATTTGCATTTTTTACGTGCTTTCAAACTGCTAGGTTGACAGAAGCTGGGACAAGTAACGGGAGCTCACTCCATTATGCAACACTAGGGATTCCAACTGCCGAACTGCCAACCTTTCTGATCGACAAGCTCAGCGTCTTAGCCACTGAGCCACCGTGTCCCCCTAGGTTAGGCTACAGGTGCTTTAGGCCTTGCTAGGAACTCTCTCTCCACTGTATCAGATACAGACTTTTATTTCTCTCAGGTGTTTAACCCTGGAATATTCTTAATAAAAATATGTTTTTTATTCTGCTTTCTATTAAAATATCCTATTAAAATGTTAAAAGTACCACAGAAATATTTTTTAAGAAAAGAAACAAGACACCACTTCCTCCAGCTTATTCAATAGTGGTCAATTTCACATTCTTCACTTCTGGAATCAAAGCCACAAGAAAGAAAAAAGGGCTGGGAAGCCAACCTTGATAAATAGCCCAGGAGAGGCTATAGCTCCTTCACCCCACTGCCCCATTTTTCCTATTAAAACACAGTCCTGTTGCATGTCAGCAGTGGCAGAATTAAATGAGTGGAGCGTTGCCATTGCACTTACACTTACATTCAGCCATAATATTGAAGATTTCAGAAGACTGTTCTAAAATAGTTCATATATTTATTGCTCTTTTAATTGATAAAAAGGAGCATTTTCTGATTCTAGATTTTATATTTTTTAAAATCCTGCCTTTATTATTTTTATAAATATCTCAAGGCACCAAATGTTCTAATACTCTTTCCTCTTCTTATTTTCTGCACAATTAGCAATCCTATGAAGTGAGTTGAGGTGAGAGAGAGAGAGAGACTGGCCAAAACTCACCCAGCCGGCTTTCATGCCTAAAGCAGGACTTATTTTAAATTACAAATTTTGTGCAATTAAATTACAAATTGTGTAAATTTTAGGATAACTATACCATTTAACCCTTTTGAAGTCTTCCACAGAAGTTTCATTTTGACACAATTTATTAGAAAACAGCATTAATCTTATAACCAAAATTGCATGAAAACAAGTGGAAGGTTTTGTGGTTGTTCTTCTGGGACCACCTATGAGTAAAAAAAGATTCTTGGAAACAAGAAAAAAACTTGTGGGTTCTTTTTTCATTTAGTTCTACTCCATGGTGAGCAGATTCCCTATGCCTTTCGTCCTTCACTTTCAGACTATGAATTCGGTTTCTAGCATCTGCCTATAATTCAAGTGGACCTTTTGCTTCTGTTCTCTTTTTCAAGTGACTGCACAGTTGTCAGATCAAATGCTTGTTAGGTTCTTTGTTCTTATTTACACAAGATTCTTTGCACTTTAAAAAATCTGAGAAGAGTTGATTGACACTGGAGCTGGACCAGAAAAAGAAAGTATTTTCTAACTGGCATAAAGAAAAATCTATTTGTAAATAGCCTATTTTTACTGTAAGCTGGAAAAACAGGTTATCCCGAGTTCAGATCAGGGAGGAAGACGTGTATGTAGAATGCCACAGACAGGTCTACTATATAGTAGTCAATTTCTCAGAGGGATCGGAAAGCAAAATTTATGTGTGGAGTCATGTTACAGTTTCAACACTTTAATATGCATCGGAAACATTTGACCCTGAACTCAGGTTTCAGAGGTATCAGAAACTGGAATTGTGGTAGCAAACCACCAGAAGACAACAGTGAAATATTTTTCAGGTATTTTTAATTGAGAAAAAAAATGGAATATACATCGTTCACATTTAAAAATAGATATATAATAAAATGTTCTAAAAATGAATGTCTCTTGGGACGACCAATCTGATCCATTCAGGCTATTGCCACCCACCGAAGTCTGTGGCTACATTTTATTTCTAATGAAAAACAAGGTTGGCCCAGAACTGCTTTTCATTAGTAATGTTCCTTAAACTCATCTCCTCAAAAGAAAAATATTAAAAATGTATAGCAAATTACTGACGAACATAAATCTTACCGATGGCAAGGGGATTAATTAAAACTATTTGAAAATTAATGCTATTTTTTCTGAACAAAATTATAGCAGTCATTGATTTTTCAATGAATATGGGCATTCTCCAAAGGTTAGTTCATCTTTTTCAGTATGTGAAGAAAGAAATATTGTGAAATAAATAAATGTACCATAAACAAATAGTAGATGATAGTTACCTATCAGGCTCAAGTATACAAATGGATTAACCGCCTCCTAGCACCCTTATTATCATACCATTCAGAATTTCAATGCCAGTTAAACCTGGTACAATAAATCAACACCTTTCTCATTTCAGCACGGTAGCATTGAGTATTTTGTTTCCAATACTGTTTCATTAAGACAGTTAAACTGGCTTTCCCCCACAGTGCCATAGCAAACTCACTGCCATTTGCACTGCCTAGCCGGCGTCAACCTTGGTATTCAAATAGTTAAGACTTTCCTAAGAATTCTCAAATGTGTGTCCTTTACAACATTTAATCTGAGACGTCCACACAATGAGAAAAAAACAAACAAACAGCTGACCAAGTTTTATGAAGAACCCAATGGCATTCTGTACTAAAATGGTTACATTTGATGATATGGAAATGGTTCCTGCATCATTATAATTCTTACCTTTGGGGAAACTGTTGGGTTGCACGATTCCCAAGTAACCGTGCACCATATCGAACAAGCCTTGTAAGTCACCATGTGAGTTACTGGGTGGTTGGTGATAGACAGGTTGTGTGAGGTTTCGAAAAGGCATCTTCAGAGGATGAATAGGCAGCACAATCCCAAATCCTAGGACAACTTGGAAAGCCTTTGTGGATCTTCAGGAGTTTTCTTTACAGGAATCTCTGCCCAATGCTACTTCTACTTAGATATAATACTCTTTGAAGCTTCCTCTGACTAGCACAGGAAACCTAGGTGATGATAAAGCAGGAGTGTGTACCATAAAGTATGTATAACCCAGCAACCACCAGGAAAAAGTCAGATGAAACATCAAACATAATCAGCTTCCTTATGAGGACAAAAATAGGATAAGGAAAGTGGTTAGTGTGGATTTTATTGGATAGGTGACATTCAACTTTCAGTGCTCAAATAATGGAAGGGAGGGTTGAAAAACCCAAAGCCCCTCACCCACTTCTCCCCAAATCAAGCCATAAGTATATATGAACAGTCTGAAAAAATCAGACAAAGCCCATCTCAATCTAGAATATTGCTTCTCACAATGGCCTATCAGACATCTCTTGGGTGCTGGAAGGAAAATGCAGAGGTATGCCTTTCTCCTGCTCTCTAGGAGGCAAGTTATCCTAGGGAGCAGGAGAAATCAGGGGTAACTCTGAGTAACACTTGACAGGTTTGACAGATCTATCCTCATTAAATTTATCAAGTCCTTTTTTAAGACAATCCAGGTTAGTGGCCATCACCATGAACTCCATGTTATAGCTATACATTACATGAAGAAGTACTGGTGTAAGGTAGAGGTACTGTTCTAAATCTCCTTTGAATCAGTTCCATTGGATGATCCCTGGTCCTAGTGTTTGAAGAGAAGATTGAAACAAAAAACCCTTCTCTCTGATGTATAATTTTTTTATGTCTCAGTCACATTCCCAATCAATATTTTTTTTTCTCCAAACCTAAAGAATTTTAGCTTTTTCTCAGAAGGAAAATGCTGAAGCCCTCTCTATTTGCCTAAATACAGCAGTTTCCACAAAACATTAGGGAGAAGGTGTTCCTTTGCACTCCCCTTCATTTGAATACTTCCTATTACTTTCCCTTCTGCCAATCTGAGTCACCAACAGGACACAGACATAAAGTACAGTGGTTAGTGGAGGAGCTGTGGACGTAGAAGAAAAATGTCAGTGTAAAATATGGCGGAGAAAGGCCCTTATTTAGCAGGTCCATATTAGCAGATGCTTAGTTGCTATGTTACTGTTAGATTGTAATAATTATCTCATAATTCAACAGATATTGGGTCCTTGAAACACCTGTGTCACCTACTTTAACTAAAAGATTATCAGATTTATGAGACATAATGTTAGAAACCCTATCCTTTAATACCTGCTTAACACAAGTATTCCGAGAGAGTACTTTTCTACTTTCACATTTGGAGGGAGGGAACCAGTGGTGGGATTCCGCCAGTTCGCACCAGCACCACTTTGGGAGAACCGGTTGTTAACTTTCTGAGCAGTTTGCCAAACTGGTTGTTGGAAGAAATCATTAGGGCAGAGAACCGGTTGTTAAATTACTTGAATCCCACCAGCGGAGCGAACCCCATGTATTCCAGTGCCAGTGTCACAGATTAATGGGGGATGAACATGATCCAAGTTGCTCCACTGCACATTCCCTACCCAGCCAGCCAGCGGTCCTTAGTTCATGCTAAAGGGCAGGCTGTTGGGGGATATTTCCTGTTCAATATTTGTCTGCCTTCCCTTCCAAAGTAACACCCAGAGGAAAGTACAGCCCTGGCTACCTCAGCTTCCCATGCACCTTTTTAAAAATAACCCCCAGCTTCATCCTGACGCCTTGTGTGTCCAAACACGCTTGGCCAATAAAGAATTCTATTCTATTCTATTTTTCCTGCCTCTCCCTTAAATTAAGATGCCCCGGATGGGAGGTGGGTCCAACTTCGCTGCCATCCGTCCAAATTCTTCCAAAAGTTGCAGAGAAAAAGGAAAATGACTCGCCACCTGGGAGGAGGTTCGGGGAATGAGAAGGACCGGAAGGGGGCCGCGGGCGCCGGAGGAGAAGGCAGAAAAAACAGGGTTTGGCTAGCCCTAGGAGTGCGCCTTTCCCAGGGTTATTCCGCTCTGGCAGCGCCATAAAACTATTGTACTCAATCCTTAGTGAACTGCACCACAGCTGCAAGTCCTCCCTGGGTTAAGCAAACCTGGCTTCATGTAACACTCCCGACCTTTCCACACAGAGAAGGAAGAAGATGATGATAGATAGATAGATAGATAGATAGATAGATAGATAGATAGATAGATAGATAGATAGATAGATAGATAGATGGATGGATGAGGGGAAGAGAGAGAAGTAGCGGTGAATCGCGCGGGTTCAATCCGGACCAAGGCGCGTTGTTGCTCAGCTCCGATTCAACCAGGCTCCGAGAGTTCTCCGCCGCGCGATTCCTTCCCCCCCCCCAACCCCCCATTCCAACTCCAGCTTTCCTTGGCCCTGGAGAGCGAGGATTGCGCGCGCGAGCCGTCCGCAAAGTCTCAACTTCCCGTCGCTCCATCTGTTCCTCGATCTCACTTCTTTCTGAGGAAAATTCACGAGCCGGAGTTAACTGGGGGTGATGGACCCCCCACCCCCACCCATCCACCCCTCCCGCCGTCGGAATAGAAGAGGCTCACTTAATGCTGCAGCTCCGCGAACACTGGGGGGCGCCGCGCCTGCGAAAGGAGACCCAGATCTTTAAGGAGGGTCGAGGCGAATTCCCATAGCGGATTTGCCCTGCATAAGGAGGGGCTGGGCACGCGAGATTAGTTTCACTACCCTTGGGATTTGATCCAATCCCCGCCCGGCCTTTCCTTACCTTCTGCGCCCTCGTTTTCTCTCTGGGCGGCTTGGCTATTTTCTGACCTCCAAAAGTGCGACTGGTGCGACTCCACCTCAATCCGGAGCAACTGGAGGCAGAGACGCTTAATGGCTGGTTTCCTTAACGACGTGAGCGTGGAGTCCGAAGCAACGACGAACCTTTAGACCAGAGCCGGGAGTTTGGAACCTCCCGAGAATCCTTCGCCCCCATTTTCTCCGCAGCCCCGCACGGAAGAGTTCTCCTTGACTTGTTTTTCATGAGTGGTGCCTTCAGTTTCCAACCGGCGGCCCTCGGATTCCAAGGAAACAAGTTTTAGAAAACTTGTGAACTTTTTCTTGGCCAGCGGCGTAAGGTCGCCAAGGGCCCGCCTAATGCAACATCCTCCTTTGGCAAACGGGACTTCAAAGGTTTCTCAACAAAAGTAGCTTCGCACTTCCTCTGTTGAAATAGGGCCCTGAAATTGCAAAGGTATCCTGTAGTTGTTAAATCCCCCTCCCCGTTGGTGGTTGTTGTTTTTTTAAACCCTGTCAATTCAATCCATTTTTAATACCTCTAACTTTCCTCAGAATGATAAGACAGGGTGTTATAAAGCATGGAATTGGAGGATCTGCAGGAAGAAACCATAGGTGAGATATTGCTGAAAATATGAAATCCACCTAGTTACAATTTCTATGGATTGGGAACAGAGAAATAACATTGAAACTGCACATCCGGATAAAGTGATACGATGTTTGAAGTTGCACTCTGGGTTTAACCTAGAGCAGCTGAAATGAAGAAAAATTATTGCTAGCCTCACCCTTGTTATTTATTTATACTTCCTATTTCTTAACTGCCCACCTCCCTCAGAGATGTTGCCCTGAGATATTTTCCTAAAATGGACTTTAAATTTTTCTTATAGCAACATATCTTATTCTGCTTCTTTTGTGATTTGGAGAGCTTCTTGTAGCTGTCTGATAGTGGCTAACTTTCACCTAGGATTGTCCCAATATAAACTGGGCTCTTGCAAGAAAGTTCTTCTATATGTGACATCAAGTGAAGAATACTTAACAGGGACTGGATCTGCAGAAAACACTGAATTGCAAACTAGCTAACCACATTTTAGCTTATCATGTCAAACAAATGTAGAAAAGTGGTTAGAGAAACTCTTAATTCTTTAAAGATACGTAAATCTATCAGCCACATCCAAACACTATGGTTCTTTCTTTAGCAACTTTGCTAATTGTGACCCCCCAGGACTCAACACTTTCTAATACAGGGGTCACCAACCTTTCGGACCTCAGGGACCACTAAATTCATAATTTTAAATCCTGCGGACCACTAATATGTTCTGCCTAATGACCGGCTGGGTGGCCATGGCTAGGTGGTTATGTGACTAGGTGGCTGTGGCCAACTCAATGTCACTCATGTTGAGGAGCATCTCACCAGCCTCTACTTGCCCCTCCCCTCTCAGCCACTTCTCCTCTCTCTGCTGGGGCTCCTTAGGGCCCCAACAGGAAGCAGCTCTTGGAGCTAAGCAGCCACCATGAGAAAGAGTTGGCAAAACAACTCATTTCAAATTGGATCTGACCGAGGAGGCTCAGCAGAAGCACCTCACTGAGGAGCAAAGGCTTTCCAAGCAGAGGGAAGACCTGCGGGAATGCAAGGGCAGGTACCGGTGCCTGGAGGCTTAGCGGGCTGAGATGGTCAGCCAGTTCCAGGCCATGATGTAGTCCCACTGGAACAAAGCCCTCCGGCTCTTTGCCACCAGCAGCACTTTCCTCCAGCCTTCGCCCAAACGCCAGCACCAGGAGGCTAAAGCAGACCCCAAGTCAGAATTTCTGTCTCCCTCCGACCCACATAAAAAGACCCCAAAGGGGGAGACTCTACAGCAACACAAACATTCATTGCACATATCTGTCCCAGGGGCCATAGTTTGAGGACCCCTGATTTAGTGCAATATAAAAAATGCAAATAATTTTTCTGCGGACCACCAAAATTTTCTCGTGGACCACCAGTGATCCACAGACCACCAGTTGGTGACCGCTGTTCTAATATGTGGTTTTGGAGATGAGGGCTCTGCATATATGCTGTTCCCATGGAGCAGATTTAATGATGTTTTCTAAAAAATCAGTTAGAGGTGAATGTATTGATGTAGGAGTCAAGAACACCTATCTTGCCTGTACCTGGCTTCATTGTCTGCCATAGACATTCACAGATTTTGATTTACCAATGAAGGTGGAGTTGGGATGTGGATCAGATGCTGAATATTATCAGGTAATAAGGCCAACCTGGGAAAGGATGTCAATGCTACCTGCCAAGGAAAGTCCAGGGAGAGAATTTTGTCCATTAATCCAGAGGGACATCCCCAGAAAATCTGGTGAGAAATCAATACAGGTCGTCCTTGATTTATGACCACAATTGAACTCAAATTTTAAGCGAGACAGTTGTTAGGTGAATCACTGCAATTATTAAGTTAGTAATATGGTTGATAAGTGAATCTGACTTCCCCAGAAGGTTGCAAAAGGTGATCACATGCCTCTGAGACACTGCCATCTGTCATAAATATGAGTCCGTTGCCAAGCATCTGTATTTTGATCACACGACCATCAGGATGCCGCAACAGCCGTAAGTGTGAAAAACAATCATAAATCACTTTTTTTCAGTGCCATTGTAACCAAATGGTTACTAAACAAGTTACAAGTCAGGACTCTCTGTAGTATCTCCTAAGCCCTAATAGGGCAGGTATCTAAACAGTGATAAGAAGCTAATAAAATGCCTCTCCTCTTTTACATAATAGTAGGGAGAAGATCCAAGATAGCGGTGCAATTGGAAGAATAAGGATAAAGAGAGCCAAGAGAGAGGCTTAAGAAGAAGGCTCTATTGCTGGCTGGCTATGCTGGAGGCCCAGAAAAAAAAAAAAAAACAGTTGCCATCAGAACAAGAAGCCAGGGCCATATTTGTCAGGCCAGAGGGAAGCTAAATGGCATCACATATTTGGTGGCGTGTTTTGGAAGAATTGGGATGAATTTTTGGAGGTTATAGGGCCACAAAAATAATTCAAGTGGCAAACACTGCTCATTTCTGGTTTGCAAAGGACAAAGAACACAGAGTGGAGCATAGAGCAGGCAGCCCTCTTGTGATTGTTTTAATGTTTTCTGGAAATGTTCAGATTTTCCATGATATTTGTCTCTTTTATTGTTTTATTAAACATTTATTATAAATGAACATTTATTACTAAATATCACCAAGTAACAATAGACAAAATAAACATTTTAAACTGGTGTGAACAAATAGTTTAGATTTTTTCTAGCAGATAGTTGATGGTTTCTGATTTAAAATAATATAACTGTGACAAGATTGCATTTGTCCTGCACAATTAGGGTTCCAAGGTAGCCTAATATCTTGTAATGGGATGCATTTCATTACATACATTATACCATTTTCATGGGATACACTAAATCATCCATCTGCCCTTTTATTTCTGGTCTCGTTAAATTACATCAGTTATGCCCAGATGATGCTGACTTGTGGATCTTGGAGCTCTGATAAAAAGGAAGGTACCTCAAGTGCAAACTCTGCCATTACTTTCTATAAATTCAGACACTTACCTCTATGACTAGAGATACCACTTTAGCAATTCATACTTACAATAAAAATAATGCTTCATAAAAATATATCAGTGTTCACATCAAGTACAAACAGGGGTGAAATGTAAAATTTGTTACTACCGGTTCTGTGGGCGTGGCTTGGGGGGTAATGTGACGGTGGGTGTGGCCAACTTTTTTTTTTTTAATTTTTCAAAGCATTTTTTCTAATGCTTTGAAAAGCCTCTGCTGATCAGGCAACTCAGCTGGGATCGTCAGAGAGGCTTTTTAAAAAATGCTTTGAAAAGCCTCTCTGAGGATCAGGCAACTCGTCAGAGACTTTTCAAAGCATTTTTTTTACCACCTCTTCGCAGGGGTGAAATCTAAAATTTTTCCCTACTGGTTCTGTGGGCGTGGCTTGGTGGGGGTGTCCTGTGACTGAGTGGGTGTGGACAACTCGATGTCACTCACAGCCACGCCCACTCAGTCACAAGACCCCCTTCCACCAAGCCATGCCCACAGAACCCGGTAGGAAAACTTTTTAAATTTCTTTCTCCTGCGGCTCCGCCCACCCGCCCCATTCCCCGGACTCCAACTTTCTCCCACAGCTGGCTGTCAGGGAAGGCAAGCGCCCGAAAGATACCGGAGTCGCTCACTCTCCTCTTGAATGAGCCGCTCTGGTCCACGTGCTGGCTGCGTGGACCAGAGCGGGAGAGTGAGCGACTCTGGTACCTTTTGGGCGCTTGCCTTCCCTGACAGCCAGCTGCGGGAGAAAGGTGAGCAGTAGGAGTCCGGGAATGGTGCATTCCCCGAGTCCAGGGAATGGGGCAGGTGGGCGGAGCCTCCAGCTGCCATTGCTACCAGTTCTCTGAACCACCAGCCATCATCGCTACCTACTCGCCCAAGCCGGTCCGAACCGGGAGCATTTCACCCCTGCCTCTTCGGCCAAGAGGTTGCAGAAAAAAATGCTTTGAAAAGCCTCTGACGATCCCAGTTGAGCCATGCGATCATCAGAGGCTTTTTTTTTTTTACTTTTAAAAGCATCTTTTCGTCGGAAGAGGTTGTAGAAAAAATGCTTTTAAAAGAAAAAAAAAGCCTCTGATGATCGTGCAGCTCAGCTGGGCATGATGGGGGGGAGGGCGGCGCAGGGATTTTTGCTACCGGTTCTCCGAACCACCCGCCACCATCGCTACCGGATCAGGCGATCCGGTCCGAACCGGGAGCATTTCACCCCTGAGTACAAATATCCATATGAAGCAGAATGTGAAGGTTCTATGATTGTTGGCAAGAACAGAGAAAGACTGAGAAGAATTTGTGAAGAGAACAAAAAAATGAGAGAAAAATCTACAGATCAGAAGAGGAGATCAAGAGAGACCCATCATAGTTAGAGAAGCAGAAGACGCCAGAGTGTAATACATATAATACATATGTTGACCAATATACCCAAAACAATACTTTGTGCATTTCACAATTTCAGTCTGAGTTCCATAAAAATACATTTAACAGAATCTCAGAGAAATTGAGGGTCTGGCTGTATTCATATGACATACTGAATCATCACCATTAAACCATATTAACCAGCTTAGTATTTTGTGCAAACACATTGTACAGTTAATCCCCGGGTTACGAGTGTTCCCTTAGCGAATGTTCGAAGTTACAGGATATGCACCCCCTAGCATTTACGAACAACTCCCGAAACTACGAATGTTGCACACCACAGCAGTTTTCGCCCTTATGAATGACCACAGAGGCTCTGCAACATGCCCAGCCTATTCCCTCCCCCGCCCCCCGCGCCAGGTTTTCATAGGCACT